TGGTTAGACTTGTATTTTGGAAAGATTATTCTAGGATGGATCACAGAATGAGAGTCAGAGAAACCAGTCAGGAAGTCCCTTACTGGTATTAGAAACTGAATAAAAAAAAAAAAAAAGCAAGAGCATGAAATAAGATTGTGGCAACCTCAAAGAAAAAGAAGGAAATTGCTACAAAAGAAGTTGGTATGAAGATAAGTGATAAATTAATGACTGATGCAGAGAAGATTGGAAGGAGATTAGGATAATCCCTACATTTCTAGTTGTCATTGTGAGAACACAGAGAAGCTGCTGAAGTTGGTTTTGGACACTCTGAGTTTGAGATGCTTAATGGACCAGAGAAGTTGACCTATACAAGGATATTTTATCCTCATCTTGGTCCTTCTTTTTTTTAGTTGGAGTCTCACTCTGTCACCCAGGCTGGAGGGCAGTGGCGTAATCATGGCTCTCCGTAGCCTCAACCTCCTGGGCTCAGGCAATCCTTCTGCCTCAGAATCCTGAGTAGTTGGGACTACAGGTGCATGCCACCATGGCTGGCTAATTTTTTGATTTTTTGATCGCTCCATGTTACCCAGGCTGGTCTTGAGCTCTTGGGCTCAAGCAATCCTCTTGGCTAGGCCTCCCTAAGTGCTGGGATTACAAGCACGAGCTCCTGCTCCACGCTGCATCCTAGTCTTATAGCATTTCTATTCTCCATATTCCTATTTGCATCAATACCAAAAAAAAAAAAAGTCCCCAAAGGGGAGAAACTTATAAGCACACAAGCTGAAACTTTGCTTGCATGTCAAACTGAAGAAAATATTGAAGTAATTATCTTAAAAAGTTAACTAGCAGAAATAGGAAAATAATTGCTTAATTTTGGGGTTGTAGACATTGTTTTGTCACTGGAATAAATTACTCTCCATTTTCCTCCTGTTCTCCCTGATCTATTTTTGCAAAGACACATTTATGTACCATCTGTAAACCAATGAAATTTGCTATTCAAATTTTTCTAGTTGCTGATGAATATTCTGCTCCTATTTATAGATACTAGATCATATTTTAATTAATAAAAACCACAAAGGGTCAAACGAACATTTTCCCATCTATAAACCTATGCCTAACTCTATTTCCTATTCTTAGAGTTCCTCTATGATCTCACCAAGAACTAATATTTTGAAAAGAAATTCTATCGAATGACAGAATTCTTTTTGTGTGTGTTTTTGAGTTGGACTCTCACTCCGTTGCCCAGGCTGGCGTGCAGTGGCATGCTCAAGGCCACCCCAGTATCAGTCTGCTGGACTCAGGCGATCCTTCCACCTTAGTCTTCCAAGTAGCCGGAACTACAGGCATGTGCTGCTACGCCCAGCTAATTTTTGATTTATTGAGAAGATGAGGTCTCGCCAATTTGCCCAGGCTATTCTCAAACCCATGGGCTCAGGCAATCCCTCACCTTTGTCTTTCAAATTTCTGGGATTACGGGCTTGAGCCACTATGCCAGGCCAGAATTCTTATATATATTTGTACAGTTGTTTTTATATTCTAGTTTCCTCATTTAGAAAAGTGCTTCTTGGCCTGTTGTGATGTTTTCACGCCTGTAGTCCCAGCACTTTGGAAGGTCGAGGCAGGAAGATCACTTGAGGCCAGGAGATTGAGACGAGCCTGGGCAAAATAGTGAGGTCCTGTCTCTAGAAAAAAAATAATAAAGAAATAAAGAAAAGTGCTTCAGCCGGGTTTGGTGGCTCAGCCAGTAATCCCGTGCCTTTGGGAGGCTGAGGTGAGTGGATTGCCTGAGCCCGCGGGTTCGAGACCCACCTGAGCAACTTGGCGAGACCTCATCTCTACAATAAATCAAAAACTAGCTGGGCGTGGTAGTGCGTGCCTGTAGTTCCAGCTACTTGGAAGGCTGAGGCGGAAGGATCGCCGGAGCCCAGCAGGTTGAGGCTGCAGTGGCTGGGAGTGGCCACTGCACTCCAGTCTGGGTGACTGAGTGAGACTCCAACTCGAAAAAAAAAAAAAAGAAAAGTGCTTCTTGACAAAGTACTGTTTCACATTTTCCAAAGTTCTTTATATAGCTGTTTCAGCAATTGTGAGGTTCACTGTGGTCTGAATTTGCAGTTTTTCTTATTCTTCCTTCTCTTCACAGTTTCCTAATTGCTCTGAATAGGCAGTATTATCTTAATACACCAAGTTAAATTTTGTCCTTCAAAATGAAATTGTACCAAACGCCCAAGCAAGCCCTTACAAAGAGTACTTTCCCCTTTTGACCTACTCAGATAGCTAGTTTTCACTTTGGCTCTGCATATACCAGGCATGCTGCCCTGCAGGAAATGGAAATTAGCCCACTGGAGAAGAAGGTCAGAAGCCTCTTCTAGAGGTTTAATTTAATCTAAGATTACTGTTCCTGTCCCGTAAGGTCAAAGTAAATCATGTTGACCAAATGATTAAATACATAATACAAACACAATGTTGTGTTCTACCTTTGTACATTTCCTATGGAAAGACTGTCCTGGGTCTGATCCAGGGCCGTATTCATGAAGTTATCATTACCCTCCTGAATGCAAGGCAAGGCCTATATTAATTTCAGTGCAAACCTTGACTCCTAAAGTTATTTATATTTGGTTTCTTAGAATGTACTTGAATGCAAGATGCTGTGGTGTCCAATATTAAGATTCAAATTTAGCCGGCACATGATGGCGTGCACCTGTAGTCCCAATTATTGAGGCTAAGGCATGAGGGTGGCTTGAGCCAGAAATTCTGGGCTGTAGCATACTATACTGATCAAGTGTCCGCCCTAAATTCAGCATGGATATGGCTACCTCCTGGAAGGAGGGGGCCACTAGGTTGCCTAAGGAGGAGTGAACTGGTTGGAAACAGAGCGGGTCAAAACTCCCATGCTGATCAGTAGTCAGAATTGTGCCTGTGAATAGCCACTGCACTCCAGCCTAAGCAACATAGCAACACTCTCTCTCTTAAAAAAAAAAAAAAATTCTGGCCGGGCTCGGTGGCTCAGCCTGTAATCCCGCGCCTTTGGGAGACTGAGGTGAGTGGATTGCCCGAGCCCGCGGGTTCGAGACCCGCCTGGGCAGTGAGACCTCATCTCTACAATAAATCAAAAAATCAGCCGGGCGTGGTAGCGCATGCCTGTAATTCCAGCTACTTGGAAGGCTGAGGGGGAAGCATCCCCGGAGCCCAGCAGGTCGAGGCTGCGGTGGCCGGGAGCGGCCACTGCACTCCAGTCTGGGCGACAGAGTGAGACTCCAACTCAAAAAAAAAAAAAAAAAAAAGGAACATGTGACCAGAATCAAGCAGATGGTACCCTGAGCCAGAGAGAGGGCCTTAATCCCAAGACCCAAGCCTTGACTTTCCCTTTTTCTTTTTGATCCCTTAAACCAAAAAGTTATCATTTACTAAATTGAAAATAATTTTCCTTTATCTGTTATAGTTTTTCCTTTATCACGACATTTCCTTCAGAACATGAATCCATGACTGGCATTTTAACAATTACTAACAATATGAGTAACAGAAAAACCTTTTTTTTTTTGAGTTGAAGTCTTACTCCATTGCTCAGACTGAAGTGCAGTGGCATGATCACAGTTCACTGCAGCCTTAACCTCCTGGGCTCAGTCTTCTGAGTAGCTGGGACTACAAGTGCACATCACCATGCCCAGCTAACATTTTTTATTTTTTTGTAGAGATGAGGTCTCGCTATGTTGACCAGACTGGTCTCTAACTCATGGGCTCAAGGGATCCTCCTGCCTCAGCTTCCCAAAGGGCTGGGATTACAGGTGTGAACCCGGCCAAAAATCAGTATTTTTGAGGAAAGCTCTTTCTATAGTGCCAGGCCCACAGCAAACATTCACAGAATGCTCGTTCCCTCCTTTTCTTGTCCCAGTGCTGACTATTGAAGGCAAACTCAAGGCCCCTGGGATGAACACACGCCATCCTCTGACCCTGCCTTCTCTGGCAGTACCTTTGTACCCTGATGCCCAGTCTTTCCTGTTCAAAACAGGCAATCACCCAGATGTCACAGGGCTGGCCTGATGACTTGCCATAGAGACCTAAAGCAAACATGGCAACAATGACATTGGCACTGATAGGAATAAGTCTGTACCTTCTGTAGCCACCTACAATCTGTCCCCAGGTCTTGTTCTAACCTCCTCTCCCCCCGTTCTCTTGTCTGTGCAGCTCAAGTCACTGGCCTCTGCTGCTTCTATAACAAGCCACCAGGCTCCCACCTCAGGACCTCTGCATTTGCTGGCCTCCCTCCCTGGCACGCCAGACATCCACAGGGCTGCCCCTCATGACACTCTGGGTCTCTGCTCATCATCCCCTCATCAAAGCCCTCTCTATAATCGCATGCCTTTGCCTTTCTCTATCCCTTCACCCTGTTTTAATTTTCTTACCATCAAGGGTTGGCAAACATCTCTGTCAAGGGCCAGATAGTAAATATTTTAGACCTTGCAGGCTTTCTGGTTACTGTTGTAACTAGTTAACGCTGCCACCATAGCGCAAAAGCCACCACAGGTCATATATAAGTGAATGGATGTGGCCATGTTTCAGTACAACTTTATTTTTAAAAGTAGATGGTGGGCTGGGCTTGTGTGCCTGGAAGTGTTCTTGGGAATTAAACAAATACTGTCTTTTGTTTGACAAGGTACTTTCTGATCCACTGTTGGATTTATGATCATCTTGTTACAGACATTTCAACCTGGTATTCAAAGGGCACAGGTGACTTGTTGAAGGTCACTCAAATCCCCTGGATTTTAGTTGGGGTAGAAAGGACATATTGGCTGAAATTTAAATGAAAGAGAATGGTACCTGTGTACACTAATTTGACATTGGATCTTACTAGAAAATGATAGCAAAGAGACCTCTGTGGAAAGACCCAAGATTAGAACACAGAATTAACTACAAAGGGCTTACTAATAACACCCTACATTTCACTGCCTTGTAGAAAAACCAAACACAATGCCTGCAGACATGTGTGCAGGGTCTGTGCTAGGGTAGAAACTATAATAGAAAGACCTGGTCCTAGTGCCATCCCTACCTCGCAAGGCACATGTGAATTCCAGCTTTCCTACCTTCTTCACTGAGAGGTCATGGTCTAAGTCGCTCCCCGAATCCTCTTCGGGCTCCTGCTGCTCCTGCATGTCCTTCATCTTGATCAGCAGCTCCGCCTTGGGGGCCGATGTGCTGTAGTAGGTAGAATTGGTGGCCAGGGACACAGCTGCAGGCATGTTTGGCTCCTCTTTCCTGGGTAAAGATGTCAGCACTTCGATGAGCTGTGACTCTATGCACAGACCACCCCTCAGCCACACTCCCTGGGTTGTGACAAATCAACGCTGGTGCTAATGGATACCAGTCAGGGAGATGAGACAGCCGAAGGGGAAAAAAGTATATAATAAGGCTAAAGCTAAAAAACAAAAACAAGCTGGGCTTGGTGGCTCAGCCTGTAATCCTGCGCTTTGGGAGGCTGAGGTGAGTGGATTGCCTGAGCCCGCGAGTTCGAGACCAGTCTGGGTAACTTGGTGAGACCTCATCTCTACAATAAAAAAAAAAAATTAGTCAGGTGTGGTAGCATGCACCTGTAGTTCCAGCTCCTTAGAAGGCTGAGGCAGAAGGATCGCCAGAGCCCAGCAGGTAGAGGTTGCTGTGGCCGGGAGCGGCCACTGCACTCCAGTCTGGGTGACAGAGACTCCAACTCAAAAAACAAACAAACAAACAAAACAAAAACAAAAACAGACTGGGTATAGTGGCTCACACCTGTAATCCTAGCACTTTGGGAGGCTCAGGGAGGAGGATTGCTTGAGTCTAGGAGTTTGAGACGAGCCTGGGCAATATAGCAAGACCTCATCTCTACCAAAAATAAAATAAAAATAGCCAAGTGTTGTGTGCCTGTAGTCCCAGCTGCTAGGGAGGCTGAGAAGGGAGGATCCCTTGAGCCTAGGAGCTTGAGGCTGCAGTGAGCCAAGATCATGCCACTGTACTTCAGCTTAGGTGACAGACTGAGATCTGGTGTCTAAATTAATAAAAAAAAAACAAAAACACTAAAAAAACTCAAAAACCTTGCCAAATGGATATCCATTAAGTCTATGGAATGTTGTTTTCAAAAAGGGCAAAACACTTGAATAAGCAGGAATGACTAAAAATCACCACCATAGAGGTAAGGGCATAAACTGTTCCTGCCTGACAGGTGTGACTCGATCTATAAACACCACCACCTTCAACCTTTCTTTTACAGTCATGCTGGCTTCCCTCCTGCCTGGGTCTAATTTGTCTTCTTTTTCCATCTCTGCTGTGTTTTATAGCCACCCTACACTATCGCCCATGAATGGTGCTTGTGAATACAGAGTATTCTAAGCAGCAGGGAAGATGTCATTGTGCGTGCTGTTGCAGTCAAATGGCTGAAGGGGGGAAGCTGAAAGTGCTATCTACAAAACTAATTAAAACAAATCTGTCCATGTAGATGTAAATATACATTTTTTAAAACCTGTCTCATTAAGAAATACGAATACTCAGTCTAACCCTTCACCCCTATTATGACAGATTTCTTATGTCAGCACTAGGGACATTTGGGGCTAGAGTATTCTCTGTGGTGAAGCTGAACTGTGCACCAAAGAGTGCTGAGCTATAACCCTGAGCTCCACCCACAAGATATCTGGAGCACCCATCCCCCAGTGTGACGTTGCTAATTGTCCCCTGGGGAAGACAACGGTCCCCAGTGAGAACTGCTGTCTTACCAGAAAGAAGACCTGTGGCACTGTCATAAATCATGCTGGCCTCAAGTACAGACAGCTTAGTGGGCCCCAGAGTCATCATCCCTAGGGGTTGGCCCTTAGCTTCTTTTTTGAGAGGCTCACTAAGAAGCCAAAAAGTCCTAAGCACTGAGGAGCCCTCGTGAAAATCTGTCTCCCCCCAAAAGCAATCATGAAAATAGAGAAGCAGATATGCCCCCCACTCCTTTTACAAGCCTGAGAGATGCCAGACAGAATCACACACACACTGGGAAGCAATGTCTGCTCACCTCTCCTCTGTGGTTCTAGGAGAGGGGATTTTGGGGAGCAGCTTCCTCCGCTGCTGGGCTTCTTCCAGGAGGTGCTCATCTTTGGGGAAGATCCCTTCCATCAAGTCCATGGTGGTTTTTATTTTCACACTGGGATCCAGGATGTCGGCCAGAGACTTATCCTTCCCCACGATCTCCCTGGCCAGCTCCTCTGACTTCAGGTCTTCCACAGTCTTCTCTTTGGCCTTTATGTAGCTGAGCCCGGGAGGGGAGGCACAGCGCTCTTTCTCAGGGGGTGCCTGGGCACTGGGGGGCTCGGGCTCGGCTGGTCGGGCCCTGTGCTGGGCCTCGGGCTCGGCACCCTGCCGCGTGTACACGCAGAAGCGGGAGTAGGACTGCTCTGATGTGCTCAGTGTCTTGATCTGGTCTTTCTCCAGCCCGCTGGGCAGGGCAGGCAGCTCAGCGGGGCGCGCCAGGCTCTGGCGGCTCTCTTTCTCTGGCTGACTCTCCGAATGCACGATCTTGATGGGCACCATCTTCACCGTGGTGTTGTTGTCCATCACCCGCTCGATTCTGGAAGGAGAAGAGTCACTAGCTGAAATCGTAAAGCTTGCTCCAGCCCCAGATTCTGACTGGTGGGTCCCCTGCCCTTCCTTACAGATGGGAAAACTTGACTCAAGCAGCCAGTCAGCCACGGTACTGGAAGGAGCTTCCATGATCACATATCCTGGACGAGGAAGAGCAGGGCAAGAGATTCTCTCTGACCTCACAGCTCAGTCTTCGGACCTCAGCATCCTTTCCCTTTCAAACTGCCAACTACACCCTAACGCATCTGAGGGCATCTTTCTGGGGGTTATAGGGGGACATGCAGATAGTTTAATAGTCATTTGCCTTTATCCTGATAATAATGCAAACTTTAGCCAGCTCCACTCAGTTAAAATTTCCTTTGTAGGGGAAATCACAGTGGATGGGCATTTTCACAGAATTCCCATCACACCTTAGGTTGACATCCACGGTTCCCACATGGTTCTCGGGGCCTGAGGGAGCTCCTCTCCAGAGCAAGTGTGGAGTCCAAACTGGGGCCCCTGCCCACGGCCCACTCAGGAGCTTCTTCCTGTGCCATGTGCACTGGGCCCACCCCCCACCGGCCTTGTACTCCCCCAGTGCCTCAAGCCACCCCCATGAAGATCTGCACACCAGTGAGATAAGGACTCCGCAGTAAGCAAGGAACTTGCCAGTTCTGAATTACTCTAAGTGACTCCTTTTTTAAATAAAAGGAACTGGAGAGGCACCTAAGTTACCCACAGGAGGAGAAAGAGGGGACAGAGGAAATGGCCTGACCATGCGGCAACACCAGCTACTCTGGTCACAGCACACTAGCCCATGTATGGGACCTCAGTGGCCAGGGCTGTCCCAACCAAGAACTTTTCAAAGTATTCCATAAGGACATACTAGAGAAAGAGAGGCATCTGCTGGTGCCAGGCAGAAAGAAAAACGAAAACAAGCCAAACTCCCACAACCAGATTCAGGCTGTGCTTCGAACTCAGTGAACTGAAAACTGCTTCTACACTACACAAACGGATTCGATTTTTCCATAGGATGAGGGCAGCCACGATGCTCTCAATTATATGCTGTTTGGCTCCCTTGAGTTGATGATGAGGGATGCAGGATGGTTCTTCCCCTATTTGTAAAGGTGTGGTATGCAGGTGAAAGTAAAATATATTACATATTGTCTGTCCAGTAGAAACCACTAGGAGCTGATGTGCTTTATCTGGGCACTCAGACAGTTCCTACAACTCCTTGTGAATACATTTTCAAAAGTCTAACTGTGGAAAATACCCTTTAGATATGTTAAACTTAAGTAGGAAAACCCTGCCACCTTATCCAAGCAACGACAAATAAGAAACCCCTGGCATGCACATCGTTCTGTACTTCAAAACCCTGATCACTGCAGCCTTGGACTTGTGAGCTCAGGCCATCCTTCCTGAGTAGCTGGGACTACAGGTGCATGCCACCATGCCTGGCTAATTTTTAATTTTTTTTGTAGAGATAAGGTCTCCCTGTACTACCCAGGTTGGTCTCAAACTCCTGGCTTCAAGTGATTCTCCCACCTCAGCCTCTCAAAGTGCTGGGATTACAGGTGTGAGTCACCACACCCAGCCCACATATACTTTTCATCAAAGCATCTATTGCTGGTAATTTCTAAACAAAAAGGGTCTATCTTCTTGAAAACGGTTATGACTTGCACATGAAAAAAATTCAAAGGCAGGGTATGATCGTTCATGCCTTTAATCCCAGCACTTTGGGAGGCTGAAGAGGGAGGGTTGCTTGAACCCAGGAGTTCGAGACCAACCTGGGCACATAGCAAGACCCTATCTCTACAGAAATATATATTCTTTAAAAAGTAAAAAAACCATGACAGGTCCACATTTTCAATGATGCCAAGTCCAGTTCTGGCCCACAGATAAAGCTGTGGTTATGTTATCACAGTTGGAAATATAGTATCAGTATTGATAATGTCCTTTCTCTGTCGAGTTCTTTTGAAGCTTTAAAAAAAAAAAAAAAGAGGGGTCTGAGATTCCAGAGCAGTGAAAGCCAACAGAGCTTTCTGCAATGATGGAAATTATCTGTTCTGTCCAGTACTGCAGCCACATGCCACACCTAGTACAACTGAGGAACTGAATTTTGTTTATTTGACTTTCATTAAAGTACATTTACACAACTCAAGTGACTGTGGCTACTGTGTTGGGCGATGCAGCTCTACAGCAGGTTTTCAGCACTGTTGACATATGGGGGACAAATAATTCTCTGTGGTGGGGGCCGTCCTGTGCACTATAGGGCACTGAGTAGCATCCCTGGGCTCCACTCACCAAGTGCCAGGAGCACACCCCCACATGCACTGAGACAACAAAAATCCAGCCATTGCCAAATGTCCCTAGAGGGCCAAAATCATAGCTCTAAAGAATGTGATGAAAATTATCCCAGCCAGGTGTGGTAGCTCACACCTGTAATTTCAGTACTTTGGGAGACCAAGGTAGGAGGACTGCTTGAGCCTAGGAGATCGAGACGCACATCCTATGGAGGAAGCTCACAAGAGAGAATGAACACACATGGCCCCCATCCCATGACAATACCTTGTTGAATCCTCATCCTGGATGAGCAGGGGAGGTTTGTCCGTCAGTTTCTGGGGAGCAAACTGAGGGGAAGGGGAACGCGAGGTCTCCATGGTGGCTGTCTGCAAGTGCCGGTGCTTAGGAGGGAGCAGTGCTTCTGGTGGAGGACGGGGCGTGTCCCCACTCACATGCTGGCTATCATGCTCACAGGCAGCGGCCCTCGGGGCATCCTGGGGCTGGGAACTGCTGACCACAGAAGGGCTGTGGGAGAGGGGCAGGCGGGCCTCACACACATCCAGGGATGCGGGGGATGGTGGTGGGAAGGGCCTGCTGGGGATGGCCAGGTGAATGTCAGCAGGTGTGCTATCCGGGCTCCTGTACTTCCTGGGCTCACGCTTGGATGGCGGTGGCCTCTGCGGGACTGGCCTCTTGGTGAGCGGGGCTGCGCTCACCAGCCACGAGTCCTGTCCCCGAGCTTGCGGGGGTGAGCTGATGCACTGGGTTTGGGGTCCTGAATCTGCTGGGATGTTCTCCTCCGAGTATCTATAATCACGGGGTAGAGTCCCTGCTCGGCTCCGGCCCTCCCGGGGCAGCTGTGGGGCTTCCTGGGGGTGAGATGATTCAGAGACTGTGGACGGGTTCTGTAAGTTCTGACTCGGTGGGCGTCTCTGTGTTCCTGGACTGCCTTCCTGACATTGGGCATCTGCTTGTCTAGAGAAAAAAAAACAAGTAAAAATTAGCTGGTTCCAGTTCACACCTTCCCTCTTCCACAGGTGACCGGACCCAGATCTTGACAATCCCCTTAAACCACTTTAAGGACTTAAATTCACATACATTTTCTCATACCTGTTCCTACCACAGGTCCTAAAGCAAGAAAGTGAGTCCTGACACGTATTAGACAACATGAAGTTGTTAGCATGAGGCTAACAACTGGCATGTCATATAGTAGGGCACAAGGCATTCAAAGCACATGCATACACACATCACATACAGGTACAAACTGCATTATTTTTTGCAAAGAAAACTGAACAAAAACCTTAGAAAATAATATGAATGTTTGTGAAAATTCTCACATATGGCTATATTCACCTCAAGTCCCAATATTTTCACGTGATTTATGGGAACTGCCATCTACAAAGGAAGAAACCTTTCTGAGATGAGCTGCAAATCAAATCCTGAATGACAACTTGAAAATCAGCGATGTATTATGGAAAATGAGAAAAACAAAGACTATTTCTTTAGGAAGGGCCAAGCCTCACAGATTTATTACTCTATCACATTTACACACGTGTGCACGATTATACACACAGACAGGTCTCCTATGCGCATTTAGTCAGGTTGTAGCTAAGCTCACAGGCTAACACACATCAATCTGCTGTGCTGTTTGCTGTCACATTGCTTCTTTTGAACCAAAAGAGTAATCAAATGAGCCTTCGATTCAAGGAAGGAGTTGTTTTCGGTTAGAAGATGACCTATGAGTTGCTAAAGGAGATCCAAACAGGAGCAGCAGATGGCAAGTGTGATATGGAAGAGACTTCCCTGACACCCTGGGCCCGCACAGGCACCCCATTCCAGGGCTGGCCCTGAGGCTCAGAGATGTGCTGCCTCTGAACTCGTACCTTGGAGCAATCTGGATGCTCCAGGCATTCCAGACGTCCCAGCCCACTCAGTTCACTGCACTGTAAATTGAGTGCTCCGTGCATGTCAATCTTGCTGTGACCTCAGGGGGAAGCCCTCTCAGGTTTACTGGACGCCCAATGCCCTCCCTTCCCCTCCGTATGGTGGCTGCGGCCATGCACGCTCCACTCTACTACTGTAAGCACCCCAATGCCAAGAGCTGAAGTCCTCAAGGTCCAGAAGAGGACATAAGAGTTCATGGCCAGTTGGGACCCCAAAAGAGGGCATGTCTGCTCTATGCTTAGAGAAGCCTGACAGGCTTAGAAAACAAGCTAGAACCAAATGGCCCTATCTAAGAGCTACTGACAACAGCAGCCTTACTCAAGGAAGTTGGATTTCTTATGGGTATCAGGCAGATAGCAACAGAAACTTCTAGTTTGAAGATTTAATGAAATAACTTGAAAACAACTACAGATGGTTTAGAGAACAATACCTGGTCAAGCAGCTGTCTGGTTACAAAATGATACACAGAATGACATTAAAACTCCGTCAAACTGACTTGCATTCTGAGAGCATGTGCTCTCATGGGTCAGCTGTCTCCCCATTACTTCACTTCAACATTCAATATTTCAATTTTTTTGAGTTAGAGTCTCACTTTGTAACCGAGGCTAGAGTGCTGTGGCATACTTATGGCCACCCCAGTGTCGACCTCCTGGGCTCCAGCGATCCTTCTGTCTTAGCCTTCCAAGAAACTGGAACTACAGGTGCGCACTACCATGCCCAGCTAATTTTTTATTTATTGTATAGACACGAGGTCTCGCCAAGTTGTCTGGGCTGGTCTTGAACCTGCAGGCTCAGGCAATCCACTCGCCTTGGTCTCCCAAAGTGCTGGGATTACAGACTGAGCCGCTGAGCCCGGCCTATATTTCAATTTCAATATTTCATTTCACTTCAAAGAGTTGAGGTGCACGTGAACATTTTTTCCTATCAAAACTCTTGAAATCTAGCATCCACAGATCCACCTGAAAGCACCTGCTACCTATTATTTAATAACTACTACATCATATAAAGAGAAAATTAAGTGAGCTACAATTTACTGCTGAAATCGAAGTGTCTTTTGTTACCCACTGATTAAGAAAAAAACTACTTGTAAAAAAAAGAAAATAGAAAAAAGAAAAAAATACTTGCAAAATGCCTTAGACTCTGAGATCTAACCAGACATGGAAGGGAACTAGCAGGCAGGAGCAAAGTCCCTCTGCGAAGTGAACAAAGACTCAGAGCAAAAGACCTTCAGTAGGCTGGCTCCTGGTTTCTCTCCTGCTCAGAGGGTGCTCACAGGCCCCTTCTCACCTTGCCAAAGGGCCACCCTGTACAGGAGTGGGGTTCCCTGTTCTCAGGGGAAGGGTGTGCACCACGCAGTCACTTCTCTCTCCAGGAGCACAGTACACGGTGCTCCAGCCCAACACTTCGTTTCATTTAGAATGGCATCTGCATGGAATTCTGGACCAAGTTTGCCCCAGATTCCCACCTTGTTTTTCTGGACATACCATCCACTTTGCAAAGTCAAAGCTATAAAATCACTAATTCGTTTTTATTGTCCAGGTTGATAAGAATCCAGGAAATTCGAGTTAGAGACACAATTTTTTTAAAAAAAGGACCAAAAATGGGAATTTGTGGCTCTGCTGGGGTCATATTCCAACCTGTGTTTCTAGTTGGTTCCAAGACACTGCTTTGTAGGTGTGTGTAGAAAAGGGTGTGTGTGTGTGTGTGCACGCATACGTGCATCCCTATTACTATGCCTATGTATAGATATATGCCTCTGTTAGGAGGTATGTAGGATGTGTGTGTCTTGTTGTATCTGCGTTAGGACATATGTTGCTTGTGTCTGTTGTGTATGTGTGTCTGTGTTATATATGTGTACCTGTGTTGTATCTGAGTTAGGATGTACGCCATGTCTGTGTGTCTGTGTAACTGTATGTCTGTGTTGCATCTGTGTTTGGTTGTATTGTGTGCCTAGGTTATGTATGTGTGTGTAGGATACGTGTAGGTTCATGTGTCTCTGTATAGATGTATGCATATCCCTTTGTCATATTTTTTAGGATAAAACAAATAGTGATAGTAATATCCAGAGGTAGAAAAAGCAAGACACAAAGATGACTTAAGGACTTTGTGTCTCTGCACAAGCTCCCGGGAATATACTGGTGCAGGAAGTTAAGCCATACAAAGGAAAATTAAAAAGGCAGCTGCACTCCAGAGTCCAATTGCTATTCAGACCAGGCTGGTGCTCATTTTCATGCAAAACATGCTAATGACACGTTACCAAGGAGAGAGCTGCTCCAACAGATCAGGAGGGGAGAGGGCTGGCAGGCAGCAAGCAGCACAGGCCCCAAGACCTGCCCCGCCCCACACAGTCCGGCTGTTCCCACTGGACTGGCGGCTGCCGAAGGACACAGAGCGCAAATGCTCTGAACAGGACTACAAAGCCGAGCACAAGTAATCTGAAGAGGACAGGCCCGCAGGAAGGGCCACCTAAAACGTGCTCACAGTTCAACATAATAGCATAGGACAGAAACCACTGTTAGGAGAAAACCCAAGCGCCCTTGAGAGCCTGTTAACATTCCTCGCCTTCACATCCCCGTTCTGGCTCTGCCATGGAGACAGCCAGCCCGTGTCTGCATACGAGGTTTCCTCATAGGGGAGGTGGCGCTTTTCTTCTCAGACTCCATCTGTTCATGAGGCACTCCCTGTAGACACGGGACCCATTTCTGAGTCGTCTCATTTTTTGCTCCCTGTCCCCCCAGCTTCTGGCCTGCCAGACCCTCCTCCTCCAGTCACGCCCAGCACAGGCTTCTCAAACACCTATGGCTCACCTGGCTCCAAGCTCCTCCCAGGCTGTAAGTGCCTCTTCAGAAAGCAGGGAGCTAGCTCAGGGCCTTGCAGGCAAATACCTACCCTAGTACATGTGTTATGTTGTGCCTTTCACTTGAAGGTGCATGGGCCACAAACGCACTTACTGCTTTTAATCACTTTCAATCTCTTTGCAGAATGTTCAGGAGAGAAGCAGCTTTTTCTGTCCCAAGATGCACACCATTAAGTTCTCAGTGAAATGACCTTGTGTGTGAACATTTCCAACATAACTAAGCATTTTTGGACTGTTCTGTAATCACGAATTAATTCACCATTGCTTTGTGAATAGGGTTAATAACGATCTTCACCAAGGAGGAAAGGATAATTTCCAAATCTTGCAGATGACTTTAGGGCCCTCCTTTTCTACCTACTTTTGGTGTCAATGATGAGATAGGAATGCAGGGACCATTCTGGCTTGTAGTCACAGGGCACTGTTGCTCAAATGCTGCCATCAACACACTCTGGTGTCTAAGACCTTTCCAAGGTATAGGTTAAGCACCCCTCATCCAAAATGCTTGGGACCAGAAGGGTTTCAGATTGTTCTGGAATTTGGAATATTTGCATATACATAATGAGGTATCTTGAGGATGGGACCCAAGTCAAAACATGAACTTCATTTATGTTTCATCGATACCTTATACACATAGCCTGAAGGTAATTTTATATAATGTTTAACAATTATGTGCATGAAACAGAGTCTGTATACATTGATTCTTCTGCCTCAGTCTTCCAAGTAGCTGGAATTACAGGAGCCTGCCACCACGCCTGACTAATTTTTTGGATTTACTGTAGAGACGAGGTCTCACCAAATTGTCCAGGCTGGGACATTGCTTCATTTTAACTATGAAGAGACCAGGATACAGAGTGGATATACTTTCCATGGATAATGCCATCAAGGGGTTTCTTTTCATTTACATATGATGCAAAACGCTTACGCCACACGTTACACATTATAAACCAAAACACTGTGGAGAATAGCAATGCAGAAAGCAGTTTGTGTATCTGTGGTGGCTCAAGAATCCTGCTTGAGCGTTCATAATTGAAGCCTGGATCCAGGACCCACATTGTTTGCACAGAGCACCTTCCAAACAGGACCACACTACCATAGGTGTTGAACAAAGAAGTTCTCCATAACTCAAATGTCACTCAAGTTCAGCACTGACAGTCTGAGGTAAGCATTTAGATAG